CGTGATGACATCACAGCTATAGTTTATCCACGTTTCTCTATAAAATTTGTTGCAGACTTATAATGAACATGTGTAAATTATCTTACAATAAACTTGCCTCAATAATATCATTATATTCAATAATCTACAAAAGGAAAAAGCTCTGGGATCATTGAAAAAACAACAAAGACATATCAATGTTGGTAGTTGCTGGGGACAAATGATATGGTAGACACAATGAAGTGTGATTAGTTCACCCAGCTGACCCGTCATCTGTCAGTTTGTAAAATAACTTCAACAAGCTAATTGCACACTTATGTCTGACATGTGTTAATATGATATGGCTATATCTAATAAGTGTACAAAATCAAAATATTTTACTTTAATATATTGAATAATATTCTTTTCAAAGAAATAATGTAAACAATTACATTACATTTCAACAACACTGTATGCTGATTCACATATTGTACTGTATGCTGATTCACATATTGTATCTGATTGCTATATAAAAGAAACTTAGATTGTTTTACACTTACAGTACCAAATTTTTACATAATGTTTACCAGTATTTAAACAGGGTCTTTAGACAGACAGACTTTTTCCGTTTTAAAATCAAATCATTGCCATATTTTTACTATGGATGTCTACACGCTAAACCTTTGTCATTTTAGTATGTTGTACAAAACTAATGGTTGGTTGACTGTACAGAAGTTGGTCAATATTCACAGGAATGAGATTAATCAAGATCAAAGTATGAATACATGGAGGGTTCGAAGTCCACACAGATTCATTGTGTTAGGGCACAAAGAGCTTAGCCTACATTGACCTATGTTTACAGTTACTTGACCTACTTATCCTCTCAACAATAAGAGTAGCAATATCACACTAATACCGAGGACATATGATGAGTACTGACAAATGACTTACAGTCTATTACCATATAGGTATGGGAAGATATCAAAATTCCACATCTGAGGATAGAATTTACAAATCTAATATATCTTTATCCACCCACCTCTTACAAAGGATATTGGTAAAAACTGACATTGACGATTAACTTAATAACATAACAAGAGGCCCAAGGGCCTTAGCGGTCACCTGAGTTATATCATAGGTACTGGTAGCTTTATTTTATTGTTTAGATGTGATGTGGAAATCAGCATGTAAACTAAGTGAAATACAATACTTGTCATGTCAACAAAGGATAAGAATTTTAAAATATTTGTAAATGTTCCCTATGGGTCCTCGCTCTAACCCCTGGGGATGGGGCAGGAATTCAAAGTTTACAACATGATACCGTCATCCACCAAAGATGATTCTGACCAAGTAAAAAAGATTTCCAACAGAAAATTGTCAAAATATACCCAAAAGTGTTGTTTCCATATATATAAACTATAGTAAACTTTACCCCCTCCCAAAGGGAAAACGGATAGCTTGGGGGTCCTGAAATTTACAATTTAAATAAAGCCCCTGATGATCTTTCCATCCATGCAGAGAAAATGGCTGTAATACCTCTGAGTCTGGAGAAGAAGATTTTTGAAATATTGGCTAATTTTCCCTTTTGGGCCCCGCCCTGGCCCCTAGGGTTGGGGTAGGAATCCCAATTTTACAATTTGGTAGCCTCATCTACCAAGGATGATTCTGACAAAGTTTGGAAAAATTCCATCCACTGGTTCTTGAGAAGAAGTTGATAATGTAAAAAGTTTACGCACAACGGACGACGGACGACGACGGATGGAAAGTGATTAAAAACCTAATCAAGGACACATTTTGAAAATAACATGATATTTTCCTATGCTAAAAAAGGAGGAAGTGTAAATGTCATTGAAGACTTACTATCTAAATAATTTCAAAAATAGGCCATGATTCCTAACTAGAAAAACAAGAGGCCCATGGGCCTAAACGGTCACCTGAGTCTACAGTATTTATTTTTGTTGTTGAAATATGTACCAATTTGAGTAAAAAATAGTATAATGTTAACTTAACTTTGTCAGGACCATGAGCTGATCATTCCTAGACCAATTTTAAGTGAGATCGGCCTATTAGAACTTAGTAGCAAAATAGCGGCCATGGCAGCCAAATTGTATTTCTGATTGACCCGAAAAATAACAACACTTTGTCAGGACCATGAGGCGATCATTCCTACCAACTTTCAGTTCAATCGGTCCAGCAGAACTTGACTTTAAGTTTGAAATAGGTTTTCAAAATGGCGGCCGTGGCGGCCATATTGGATTTCTGATCGACCCGAAAAATAACAACACTTTGTCAGGACCATGAGGCGATCATTCCTACCAACTTTCAGTTCAATCGGTCCAGCAGAACTTGACTTTAAGTTTGAAATAGGTTTTCAAAATGGCGGCCGTGGCGGCCATATTGGATTTCTGATCGACCCGAAAAATAACAACACTTTGTCAGGACCATGAGGCGATCATTCCTACCAACTTTCAGTTTAATCGGCCCAGCAGAACTTGACTTTAAGTTTGAAATGTAAAATGTTAACGGACGACGGACGACGGACGACGGACGAAAACGGATAGCAATAGGTCACTTGAGCTAAAGCTCAGGTGACCTAAAAAGCTGCCGATTATTTTCAAGATTTGAGGTTAACAGTGTAGAACTCCTCTAGATATCCACATATAATGATCGGTGATGGTTGAGTATAACTAGTCACCAGTAGCATTAGTAATTATATAAGTGATGAAGAAAATATAGGTCACTCACAATGCCTATATATTTATTGGTGCAGAGCTGTCAGCATTTTTTGATAACAGTTGGACCTTTACTATAAGAGTAATAAATCTAAAAACATGTGCAAAGTGTTATCAAAGTCAAGGAAGCAAACAAAATCCTCAGAAATATTCCTGCTTAATAACCGACACATTGTCGGACTGGTAAAAGACACATTTTTCAATAGAGACCATTTCTATAGATCTGATTTTATGTAAATCAAACTGAAATACATGTAATACACAAAAACAGATTACCGATTTAACCTGTGAAACATTCACACAAGTTGACAAAAACGACAGAAAGTCAAATACCTCTATGTTGGACTTTGACCATGTCACACGCTGAGAGAGCTTTATTTAAGAGTAAACTATAATATGGCTGTTGCCAAATCTGTCAGTGGAGGACTGCTGTGTGTGTATATATGTACAAGAGTCCAAAGGTTTGGTTACATCAAGTTAAGTTCAAAGTCCTGATAGGTTTGTGTATATATATAATCATTATGACATAGCCCCCCTCAATACTACAAGTGTACAATGAGAGCCAACTGAGTTCATTTCAAAATCAATTGACTTGCCTACATAAAGAATTGTATACATGCAATCTTCATACACCATGTCAACATCCTAAATCACCTCTCTTGAAAATATGCCAAGTCTTATTTTTACTGTGTAGATGTACATGTATTATGTAGAAATTACCACTCATTTTGTGGACCTATAACAGCACATCTTTGTGTCACTCGAAGGTTACAGAAACGGAGATGGGACTAAACACAGCTGAAAGTTTTAATGATTTCACAGACTCCATTCCTACACAGATTTCTACAGATTCTACAGACTTAGTTCAAGTCTTGTATTGAATTTCAAAGCATCAGTTTCAACAAAGTCAGCCACTGAAACTCACAATTCATATTCTACAACCTGTTATTCGATCTAACAGACACATTTTTTTTTATAAAAGCCTCTTAATAAATGTTTAGGTATAAGTTTCAACATAGACTGTAATTAAACTGGAGTTGGGATGGGAAATACATTCAAAATCAAAGTGGTCAATAATACTTGAGAAAGTTAATGTAGATTTAGTCATTTACAGAAACTATTTACCCATTGAAGTTTGATACTGTATAGTTGAACAAACTGATAAATGGCTCAAAGTGAGGTTCAGCCATCCTTTAAAGGGGCTGGTCGGGGAAAAAATGTCATATTTGCTAAAATGGCATACACATGTTTAAAATACCTTCTTATGAAATATACCGATACAAATTTTGCTGAAATTCACTCCCTAAGAGTAAAAATTATAATTATATTAAAGAAATCCTAAATCGTCACCTGACAGTCTAAAACTCTCAATTGACCCAGATCAGTGAAGTAATTTTGCCGCACACGCGTCATCAACAAGGCCAAATGTAAACATTGTGGCGAAAGAAAAAGATGCGTGCAAAAGTCATGACAGGCACGAGGTATCAATACCGTTATATATAACAACAACAAATAGGTAGGAATACTACACTTGCATAATACATGACCTTTGAAAACAATTATTTATGTATAGTATTGCTGTCTTGTCCGCTAGTTGAGTCCGACATGGCACATTTCGAAACAACCACGTGACATATATAAATAGATCTGCGCTAAATTTACGTGGGGCTTCCCCGAGATTTCAGTGGTCAAAACTGGACATTGCAAGCAGAACTCGACCATCATATTGCCGTGGTATAACTTTTGGAAGGCCAGAGAACGCATTTAGACCCATTTATTTTGATTTTTTTTCCCCTACCAGCCCCTATAATATTACCAGGGTTCATTATTAAATTTAACAATACATGTATCAAGTTTCTACAGTCTGCTAATGAAATGTATAAACTCCATATATACTGAACTGTTCAAAATCCATTTATAGACTCAGTCTAAGTACTATTATATGTTTATATAAACTTTGTAAGTTGGTAAAAATATTTTTTTTTAAAATCTATTAAACCCTCACTTTTTGGACTCCATTAGAATGAGTTATATGGCTAGTAATGAAGAGGTTACAATATTTCCAAATTAGTTTTATCTTTTCTGCAATAAGTTTGTATGGTTCTCTTTGTTATTGGGTCACAAATCGCATATACAATTCACTGTAAAAAAGAAAAATTAGTTAGAAGAAAGATATTTAGTGTTCAAGTCCAGATAATCTATTTACAACTTGCACCAGTTTCCCTGATCAGTATCCAAGACACCTGAAAAAATATACCTAATTATAACTGCTTGTAAGTATTGAATACCGGTAATACAATTGTTACTCACATCTGTCAAACACCAAGGGGGCGTATTCACCCAAGATCATTGCTACGGCTCCCGCCCCTCCTGTACATCTTGCGTTTCCCGTCGCGTAGACCGCTATATCACCCGCAACCACAAGAGCATAACGTCCTGAAATGCCAAAAAAAAACACAAAGTTATTCTGGTTTCGAACTACATTATGTATATTGAAAGTTATATCCCCCAATGTATAGCAGTTATGTGTACTATATAGCCACAATCAGCGCCGACTTTAAAATTGACCTTGGTACCCAGAAACATTAACTTGTTTGAGATATTCTCATACTGGATTATTATACAAAGTTTGATCAAAATCTTTTCAGAAATTAAGTTGCTAGAGCAATGACCAAAATGTCCTTTAAATATTAAAAGTGATCTTGATTGGCACCATGAAACATGAACTCATTTAAAATAAAGTAAAAATACACCTTAAAATCAAATCACTTAAATTAGTGACCACCTGTACATGTATATATGTAGAAATGGACCACTATCCGCTTCCAAGGCTTTGTCACCAAGGGATCATAACAATGCTATGCAGTACAGTGCAACATAATAGGAAGAGTATTGATTGTGATTCAAAACTCAAACACTAAAATTTTCAATATATTCTTCAAAATTTGTTTGAAGCATGATTGCAAAAAGAAATTTTCTTGGAAATGAAGCGTTGAACCCATTCACCCCTAAAATAGATTTTGAACCTTACCAAAGTAAAGATTGGGCAAGTCCAGTTTAAAAATGAAGGGGTGAATGAGTTAAGTTAACTTAATTTTGTAATTATAAATCCACTTTACCGTCCCATGAACTAGACTCGATCCAGTTGATGGCGTTGAAGAGAGCCGCAGTACCACCATAGCAGGCATTGGTTGTGTCTATTCCTTCCATGTCAGTGTTCTCACACTCCTCAAACAACTGCATAAGTACAGATTTCACGCTCTTTGATTTGTCCACAATTGTTTCTGTCCCCACTTCCAGGCGGCCAATATGTTCATAAGATATGTGACCCTCAAGTTTGCGCATCAAGCGCTCCACAACGGTCAAACATAGCGAGTTAATGTCCTCACGATCCGTACAGAAACCCATCTTGTCCTGTCCCAGACCAATGGTGTACTTTCCTGTGGAGATGCCATCATACAGTTCTAACTCTCCCTGGTCAACATATTGGGACGGAAAGTAGACATCAATGGCAATAATGCCCACATTGGTCGGATAGTGTTTATAATGTTCATCCATGTTAGCTGATCCTGGCATTGTTGCTATCTGTTAAGTTTTCCTACAAAATCAAATGAACAAGACCACTGAATTAATTTGACGCTGGAAGAAAGTGACGAAATATTCGGATTCAATCACTGTTGCTAAAACAAAACAATGACTCATAAAACTCACTATTAGATTGAATTAGAAACTAACCAAAGAAAGGACCATTTTTTATGATCCACTCTCAAATTGACAGGTTAATATTGCCTGAAATATAATTACAGATATACCTGAAAATAATCTACAGCATGCATATATATATCAATACCGTCTATCATACCATCAAAAATAGCAATGGTTCGATGATACCTGGTATCTATATTTAGCATCAAAATAGAAAGCAGGTAACATCTATAAATAGAATAACATACATGTACACCTACATTTAGTAATGACAAATACAGAATAAAAATAGAGTTTACTTAGCATACTAGACATTTAAAATGCCTCAGACAGCTTGTACTACATAATGACAAACATAAATTCAGGGTACCCAGATTACATTTAACTATGCACTTTATATATATTGTATATATACATGTACAGTAGCACTAAACTCATTCAACATACCTGTGTTATTAGTCAACACTAAGAAGGAACGTGTTTACAGTAGAGGGTATTTTAAACCAAATAAAACTTATACTGAACCTACTCTGAATAAGTACCCACATACATGTATATAAATGAAAAAGTAGCTTGAAATAATTTTTGTTCTTTGCATCATATATTTGTGTCTTGTTCTTTGTTAAATGTGTAATCTGACATAGGGGTAGATTGCTTCAGATATTGTACACCCTGTTTGCTAGAAGGAAATCCAGGGATTCTTCATTGTCAAATTTGCAAAGAAATGGCTGAATGTCATTGGGAATCGAGACAAGAGATAAAAACAAATTGAACATATATGTATGTGAAAATAAAGGTAATAAAATCAGTGGACTGGAACATTATATAATTACAAAATACCGGATGTAATATAAGTATAAAGAATTGAGGTCATGCACCTTCAGATATGATGAAATAGTTTCATCTCATACTAGTTCATGTAAATCTAGAGTGCTAGACAGAGATTCTGCTGAACTTTAAACATAATAAGTTGATTCCAGTTATCAATAAAATGTTATAGGGACATTCAATGCTAAACAATAAAGGAATTTTACTGAAACATTAGGTCATAGTAAATGCCTTAAAGTCTAACTGGATCAGAACCACTGCTATTTCCAAGTCCCCTACATTGGTTTTCATAACAACCGTCCAACTGCATTCTTCTATTAGTTTATCCCCCACTAGTTTAAAACTAAATCAGACATCCAGGAGATCCAAATTATATTATTTTCCATTTGTTTTAATTCTAGAGATGTACAGGCCCCCATATGGTGGGTAGCACGAGTTCATGTCTTACTACGTCCGTCTTTCACTGGAATTACCTCCTAGGATGCTGATAACCATTTCTACAGTTTGGTAGAACTGTGGTAATCAGGGCTATCTACGCTGTCTTATATATTCAAGACCAAGAGTAGCTGTTGATGACATACAGTAAAACATTGATATAATAGCCCTCGTTCCACTTACCACCTTGCTTACTGCCAACATATTGCAAGGTTTCTATTTTTTCATTTTTTTCCTATGAATTCCTTTATACCTTTCCTTCTTTTTATCATCAAATCCCTATAAATGTTGTTTTTTTTCTTGGCAAATATTCAGAATATAACAAAGGTTTACTGTATACATATATAACAGTGTTAGTCTATGATAGAAGTGTCAGTATATTAACAAAGAGCTTACATGCAAACATGCTACTATAACACAGCATAAACTGGTCATTGGTAATTGAAATGTAATAATACATCAACTGCTACTGGAGTATATAAATGTACCATTATAGAACATCAACTGGGATATTGCCATGTAAACATACAGTATAATACAACATCCAAAGGAGCATACAATCAGTAAACATCAAACATTATAAAACATCAACTGGGATACTGACATGTAAACAAGCATACAATCAGTAAGCATCAACCATTATAAAACATCAACTGGTATACTGACATGAAAACATACAAGTACAATACAACATCAAAAGGATCATACATCATCACACCGATTCCAAAAATTGCAAACATTTCTACAACATCAACTAGGGCATTGTAAACATCCATCATAATATACAATGTCCAGGCAAACATTTTGATATTAAACTTGTACAATATCAACTGGGAAAGTCTCACCATTGTGCGACATCAACAGGAGGGGACTGAAATTATAAAATATTTATCTATAAGATTCAGTTAATCTAAAATCCTTATATTCTGTATTTCTTTTCAGCCACAATGCCTGTCACTGAATCGAAGACGAAAATCATTTTGTCTTGGTGTGTAACACCTACAAAGATAAGCCAAGAACATAATCTATATAACACCTACATTACATAGTACATTGAACTGTTTACCGTCTGTTCTCTCATGTACATGAAATGTACTTGTATGTATTGTATACTGATGGGCTGTAAGGCCTGAAGTCAATATCTGAATTGAAATGAAATGAGATGATAGGTATATAATGACAAAAAAGTTAAATTGACATATGAATGAAACAATATTCAACCTACCATCACTGCAGGTAAATAATGATCCACCACGTGAAATGTAACAGATACGCATGTGTAATATATGTAGCTATAGTGTCAACAGCATCAATCCTGGCTCTCGATAATTACTGTCATCTTTCTATTGGTTGTCGCATCATTAAATTCCCTCACCTGGCCAATAACGATGTTTGCAGTCAGGCAGTAGGATTGGTATATCAGGTATAGTGACCTAGATTAGTGTGTTCCCCCTTACAAAATTTATAACTGAAAACCTCTGATTCTGTACGATACTACGTACATTGTATGTATGGAAGGTGGCCAACCTAAACCAGCTTATAGTATTGTGAATACCTAGTGTTCTTCACATGTACACCTGTATTACTAGTACTGTATACCAGTAATTTGTTGTTTACTAATATACCAAGTTGTATGTAAAAAAAAAAACATTATTGACAGATGGCAAGGCATTTAAAAAGTACACCTCATACTTAGCACTAATACATATAGTTATATTATTTCATCTATCTATGCTACTTATATACATATTCATAACACTATGAGGACAATTTATATTATGGAATCAAGGCCCAGTTGTACAAAATTTGTTCACCCTCACAGGTCATTAACCCCAATTTTCAAATGCAAGAATTAGAAATAGTTCTGTGTTTTGTGTCCTTAGGCAATTTCAGCTAAACATTTCCTTAATTTTAACATGTAATGGATTAAACATTTGCATTCAGTTGACCTATGCTAAACAGGCTTTACATAACAGGGCCAAGGAAACTCAAGATAGCAGTGTTGTAGAGCAGACATTGGATTATAATTACTGTAATTACATTGCCCTGTCTATATTTTTTGATACTTCCTTGCTAAATCAAATTACAATATTGGAAAATTCTTCAATATCATTAAAGTATTTCAAGCATTTTTAGGAAAAATTGTATGCAATATTAATGGGCTTAGAAACTTTAAAAAAAAATATGTTAACTGTCCAGAAATAAATATCAAGAAATATCATGATGGTGCAGCATGACATTTTTGATATCTCGAAACTAGTTACTTTTTTTGCTTGATCTAGTTAGGTTTAAGAGGTAATTTTCAATACACTGACAAAAAAAAAGGCTGTCATTGCAGTTAAATTACTGTGCTCAGTATTTAATTAACAGAAAATAAGGATAAAGTATGGATTAAAAGCTTCTAAACCTGTAATTTTTACATTTTTTCAAAATTTGCTATATTTTCAACAAGAGAAATGGATGACTCACCCTGTAACTCATTCCAAAGTCAGTCCACAAAACCAAACTATAATGAATTATCAATCAGTAATATACAACTGATACTCAATAAAAATGGAACCGATTCCCAGCACTAATATATATATATACTGACCTGGGCAATATAAATCTGACAATTTATTTCCTGATCCCCTTGCTTCAAGAGGCAATAAATACATTTTTGTATGTTGCAAACTATTCTAGACCCTCTCATGTGTAAAAGTGTGATAGGTTAAGTACATGTACATAACTAACATGTATCTTGGTAATCAACAATCATGTTCTGTTACTGCCGTTGTGTTTCCATCTTGAATTTATGGCGTCGACAGCTGTAGGGAAATTATTTGTGCGGTATATTGAGACTGACATGTATGATATATTCCAGCATTTATAGTATCACTAATCAACGTTTCATTTCTATCGACATCAAGTACTATTTTATAGGCTGGCAGTTTTATAACTGGGATTTCATAAATTATTTTATTATTGTTTTCTCTATTTTTGAAGTACATGTAGTAAATGTTCTAACCATTTTCATATCATTAAGCTACAACTATATACAATTGTACTAGGGCATCCACATACTAATAAAGTTCTCAGCAACGAAATGACAGTCATAGATGGTCAAAATGCCAGTCATTTCACTTAGTAAATCTTTTAAAATTATAAAACTATAATTTGCTTTTTCATTAACTAATATGTCTTGTCTCAGAAGTACATGTATTACAGTTTTTTTAAAGTTTAAAGAGTGCTTTTTAAACCTTTTCATTGTTGAGCTAAGCAGTGCAAATGCAGATATAGAAGCTTTTTAAACTTGATAACAATCTGTGCAGGTTATGACGATCATTTGCAAATGGAAAAGATGAAAATTGAATAGAATTTACACCTGTCTTAGTATATATATATATTCTGTCGTTATTACTTCCTTCCCCATATATCTATGTAAGTAATATGCATCCAACCAACATTTGTTTGTTCGGATCCAGTGCCAATATTGGATGATACTGTTGTTATTACTTATGAGACCTATATAATATATATAAAGGTCAGCATTTTTAGCATAACCTTACATGAAGGTGTACGAACAAATCTTGCAAGTGCCAAGTGGTTGTTTCCTGACTCCAATGCAGTACGTATATATATGTAGTTGTTTTATAACTAAACATCTGCCCTATGTAAATGTACACAGTATCAGACCAATGAAAATGTGAAGAAAAAAATATAAAGGTTATTGAATTGATACAAATATAATACTACTGTTAATCATAATGATTTTGCCCTGCAAAATTTTCAACTTAAAATGAATTTGCCAAATGATGAATCTTCTCTCTAGGGTTTGTAGCGGATATTTTTGGAATCAGTTTCAGATCATTTGGAGACAATCCGCATAATTGAATCCAATCGTTGAAATTGGTGGTGTTCTTTTGAACAAAAAGAACAAATTAAATGAAATTTACCACAATTATGAAACAACATCCAACGAGAAGGAGCTATGCATAAATAAGTTAGTTCTTGTTTCCCAATCATCTCCATTAGATGTCTTTGATATTGTACATGTTTAATTGACCTGAATAAAATATGGTTTAATCTAAAATCCAACCATTATATTAAACACTCTTGTTGGTTTTTGGATGGTAATGTGCAGGGGGTCTTAATGTGGGAGAAAACTGGAGTACCCAGGGAAAACCCAAGTGGACTATGAGGTGACCCTCGGCCTTTGCCAATCAGGGAATCGAGCCCCGATAATCTTGGTGAAAATCAAGTATACTATATCCACTAAGCCACCCAACCAACCCAAATTTCAGTGACTATATTAGTGGGATTGGTAAGTAGCCTAACAGAGAATTCTATAGTATGTTGCTTTTTTTTATTCATGATCAGTGGACCATGAAGTCACTGAGATCCCTTCTTTACTTCTGTATCTATCTGTAACGGAACCTGACTGGGTCAATCGTAGGCGACCAGATAGCTCAATTGGAAGAGCATCCGTCTAGATTTCAGAGGGTCCCGGGATCGAACCCCGGTCTGGCTGTGCAATTTCTCTTTCTTCTGTTATATTACTATGTACCAAAAATTAATCAAAACTATCTGCCATCAAAATTAGCAAACATGAAATGAAGTAATAAAAATTTAGCAAAGGGGCTTGTATTCCCCTTGCTCGTAACCGAGTGTCTGGGGGCGGGGTCAAATCATACACCATGTCATAGAGGTAGTAGAAGAATAAGGAAGCGACCAATCTATATATATATAACCCTGACAATATTTATCACAACTTGTCTAGTATTGAATTTAATTTCATGAATTAGGTCAAAAATGCTGAAAGTAAAACATGTTACATGGGCAATTTGTTTCCTGTTTGTAAGATGTTTTGTAGTTACATGTACTGATAACAGTGTTCTGCACCTGTAACACAGCACAGCTTTCTTTGTAAAAAAAAAAAAAAAAAAATGCTGTGCTGTGTTACAGGTGCAGAACACTGTTATCAGTACATGTACAGCACAGCTTTCTTTGTTATTTGTGAAAGAATAAGATACATTGGAAAGGCTTTTTTTGTAGTTAACTAATTTATTGCGAAAGTATAACATCTATTTTCCTATCATTCACTAATTTCAGCATGCATGCATGCAGTACGCTATTTTGGTTTAGCATCAAACTGTAACAATTTCCATTTCTAACACAGGCGGCAAAGTCAAAGCAGTTTTATTTTCCTCGTTATTTGTGTAGGCCTACTTGAATGCTGGTTATCTATACATTCGTCCGATCGGTTATCGGCCGAGCCCTGTCAGTGTCGTGGACAACTGGTGACAACGTGTTTCCTGTTCATTCAGTTGAACATGTTTCGCAATATTCAACAGTAAGCATTACCTTTAAAATGGCCACAGTTAAGTCCTCTTGTAAATGTTCGTCTGAAACACATCATATGTGACGTAAAGGGTATTTAAATGACCACAGTCATTCTTCTATCCAAGGGCAAACACGAGGCGACCATACAGTGTTTATTATTTCATCAGTCGGTATCATGCTACGACTTCATATGCGTCATTAGCTACAAACGTTTGAATGATATAGAAAGTATAGCCAATCAGAGTAAACCTTCTAACACCGACGGTGTGGTTGTTAACCGGGCTGTCATTGGTTCACATGATATAGTTTCCCGCGTTTAAATTAAAGCCTTGTTGGGATATGGCATTTTTTTCAATGCAAGTTGAAGATCGGTTCCGGTAAGCGTATCGGTTAGTGTAGTGCGCTAGTTACACAAAAATGTAGAAGCACAATCAAAGAACGTAACTTGTGATAGGCCTACAATTAAAGCCAATAAACGAAAAAATAATTTGCAACTACGAAAATCCATCTAATAGATAAATCTGTTATCGGTTAATAAAATTATTTTTTGTTTTCTACATCTCTTCATATTTAATCCTTCCTCCGTCAATATTGACGATTGTGGATTTTTTCGGTCTTATGCTCTAGTGCGTTGTTATGTACAGTGGTTTTTTTTTCTTTCACTCTCACTCTCTCTCTCTCTCTCTCTAATTTGCTATATAGGGTAAAAACAGGTTAAAAGCAGTGAGTGCGTTCGATTATGTTATATGTGGTGCATGTCCTAAATTCTGCTTGTGTTTTTGATTGGATGATTATTTTGGGTAGGAGGTTCCGCTGTGTTATGGTGTATGTGAAGAATGAGTGTCTGTATGTGTCTTTGGGTGTGTAGATATGTCTGTAACTAAGGTCGTGTCCTTGACGTGTTCTGGTGTCTGCGGGGATGATATTGTTAGTGTGTATTGCTACATGTTGGTGTATTATTTTGTTGAGAAGAATAATTCGTATTCTTGCTCTTCATGTGTGTAGTGTTGGCCTTTTTAAATTGTGTATGATATCTGTGACAAAACATGTGTTATGGTATTTGTTTTGAACGTATCGTGCTGCTCTTCGTTGTACTTTTTCTAATTGATTTAATGAGGATCCCAAACTGAAGAGCAGTATTCAAGGTTTGGTCTTACAATGGCCTTATATGCATGTTCTTTTATGTGTGGTGAATTTATTTTTTAGGTTGCGTTTCTGAAAGCCTAGCGATTTATTTGCATTTGGTGTGATGTCGTTAATGTGTTTGTCCCATTTTAAGCTGTTTTGAAGTGTGATGCCTAGACATTTGTT